GGTGGAATTGAATGGCAACTGGTTTCAGAAATGAGAAAAGCATGCTCTGACCGGCTTGTTCCTTCATTGAGAACAAGATGTAAACAAGATGGTGGCATGAGTGAAGCAGGACCTGTGCCCTAAATAACACATGAAAGACCTTTTTTGGGCAAAGGAAAACCCAACAGTTTATTTTAAAGAGATTATATACTTATGTTTCTGCCATCAAATCCTCCCGAAATGTTAGACTTAAAGTGGAAGTTACTGTCAAAAGTCAAAGGTTATGAAGTTACTTAGTGACTCTGTGCTGTAATCATAGATGTTCAACTAATGTAACAGATGTTTCTCCTTGGCAGAGCTTTTGTGCGTGCGTGCGTGCGTGTGTGTGTGAATGCATGCGCCCGAAATATTATCACCATTGCCCTGTTCTGTTTCCCTCTGACGTCGGGGCATGGCTGTAGATGAAGGCACTTGGCCTGGTTGTGTCATCCTCACCACATTAAACTCATGACAAACACTGAGGCAGTAACCAGAAAAGCAATCTTGTCAGGGATGGAAAAAAAAAATAAAAGCCTAGACGATCCATTGTGTAAAATAAAGACATCAGAGAAGTGTTTTTGTACTCACTCGGGAACACAATGTTGTGCCAAGCCTGAGTCACACACCACACTTGACCGAGGATGTACACAAACAGCACTGGCTGATCTCAGGCAGACCACCCACTGGTGCCCAGGGCAGATGGGTGGCTGTGAGTGAGTGTGATGTTTGTAGTTTGTTTATGTACGATTGTGGCATTGTTCCAAATACTAAAATGGCACAAGAGATCAGCGGTTAGTGCTGCTCCCACACCCGCTGCTTAGGACACTGTCCTTCAGGCCTGTCGGGGACTAAAACTGCCTCTGGAGTCCCCTGGGACAGCAGGTCACTACAGGACTTTATCTCGACTCAGATGACTTCCCCACGACTATAATGTTTTGCGGGATTGCTTCTTAAAAAACCTGAGACGGCAGCATTAGCACCACTAGCTGTTTGATGCAGAAAATCTAATGAATTTTTCTCGAGCTGTTTTCAGTTGACTCTAGTGCTGTGGTATTATATACACCTGTTGTCATCATTATGTTTTATCTTCATTTTATAGATAAACACTACTTGATCAGGGAGGCTGTTCCTCCCCATCATGTTGCTTCAGCCTGGCTAGCTCATCCACTGCTGATGTCCACGATGAATCCTAAACTGAGATGAAAATAGAACCCAACATTTTTCAGTTGCCTATTAACATCTGCTATTTGTGAGAAATGTCTACTCAACATTTTTGTGGGGTTCAGCTGTGCGATTTTTAATGATTATATTAATGGATGTCCGATAAAATCGGCCGACCGATATTAGCATAATTATGTAATATCTGTAAGAATATTAATGTAAACCCAATTGCACAATGCCTGTGTTTCGTCAAATGACCTTTGACTTAAAAATAGTTTTGGGGATAAACGGCTGTATATGCAATTGAAAGTAACGAGATGGCAGCATTGCAGCTCATTTAATTAATCTATTTTAATAATCATGGGATTGTCTGCAGAATGATCGATCGGTATCAGTTGATATCAGAATCGGAAATGAAGTGTTTGGACAATAACGGCATATCGGATATCGGCAAAAAGTTAATATTGGACATCCCTAATTATAGTACATTGCATAATTATTTAATAAAATAAATCAACGTTATATTTATTTATAAATCAACTACTTTGTTGTGTTTCCTTACTTTACATTCCATTTGACATGTGAATTATGTTTGTGTGTGCGCGACCTCACGGTGCCTCTCTCGGCCTCCGTGCCCTCAGGTGTGTTTATGGCGGTGTCAGAAACTCTACATGAACTGCTACTGTTTCCTATCTATTGATGCCCTCACCCCCTCCCTCCCCTTCCTCACCCACCCCTCCAGATCACCTCCTTTTCTCTGTCAGACACAGCCTCCACCAATAGGCTGTCAGTGTTTTCAAGCGTCAGCCCTGTTTGCTGGTGTTGCACTGATGACTTCTCCACTGTGCAACTCAAACAACAAACCACAGGCATTTCCGATGCTGCAGTTGTTTTCCTTCAATTGCTAAATAGACTCTAATCATATTTGTTAAGTTGCAACTCACGAGGAAGGAAGCGTGCTTACGCTGCTGCCACTGTCAGCCGTCAGGCTTTGACAAACCTACAGATGTTGAATGGATTCAGTGTTTGGCACCTTCTCCTCACTGTCAGACCTGCGCCTGCATTGAAGGTTAAATATATCGCCTATTACTGATATAAAAAGATCTGTCAGGCCTCGTTCAACGTTGTGGCTCGGCTAAGACGACCGCACTGCGGTGTCACTACTAGTAATACTGTGATAAAATAAGACCACATCAGTGATCCCTGGAGAAATACAGTATGATATATTCACAAACTGACTGTAAGTCAAACTGTAGGAGGCCAGCGGAAAACCTCTCTGCTCAATCTGTGTGTGTTGACCACAAGCGCTGGCTTTCCTGCATTTATTACCACGATTACAGGATCCATGGGTACATAGCTGTGCCCGGAGAACTTTTGAACCCAAGGTAAAGCAAAATCCCACATGTCTGAGATCCAGCCTTTTGCTGTTTGGCCACACCCTATTAGGGGCCTGCAATTATTTTTTGACTAAATTGAGAAACGGATAGCCCCAAAAAGTGCAGAGATTGGGGTCAGATCCCATGGTCTATGTTGGGTAGCCCTTGACCTCTCTATGACCTTTTGATACTGAGCATTTCAAAAGCTAGTTGACATTGGATTCAAATCCAAAGCTACTCCGAGTCACATACAGTATATACTATTTATGTTAGGGACTACTCCAAATTACATACATATATAATGTTCATTGATGGTAATCTATAGTTGTTTTGAGGAAAAATAATGAAGTAAAATGGGCTTTTCACTCTGTGTGCAAGGTGGCGCTATGTTCTTGTCTTGCATGAACTTTCTCTTTTTTAAGTGTTAAAAAGTGAACCCAGATCAGCGCCTCCACTCCCAAAAGAGAGATTTCCATTTACTTGATCAATGGACTAGCTGAGTGATGCTTTTGCCTCAATTCCTTGAGCCAAATTGTGTTAATGTGTGTGTGTGAGTGTGTGAGAGAGAGAAAGAAAGAGAGTAGGTGCAAGTATGCAACACACATCTGCTGTTGTGAACTGTGAGAAGTAGGCCAAGTATCACTGTTTAGAGTTCAGGCTGACCTGGGTGATTAGGTGTTTAAACTTGTGTCTCCTCTTTATTTAGTGTTGACAGTTGCCAGACGCCTGAGAGCATGTGATGAGACACTGATGAAAAGGCTGATGTTTGTTTTCTCACCATCCCATGGTGGTGCCGGCCAAAGCATTTATATACTCGTGAAGAGCCTGGCAAAAAGACGAACAGCAGCAAATGCCAACGCCAAACAACTGAACGGGGAGCAGAAGACCACACACCAGGTCTTAACCCCCGGTCTGGGGGACTGGTGCCGGTCCGTAGGTCATTTGGTACCAGGCCACAGTGAAAGAATGTACTTCAGTTTTTCTAATATACTTCATTTAAAAATAATCCAGTCATATCCCTTTACATTTTTCATTTACAGATAATCTGGCAATGTTTCAAAACAAAAGGTCATTCAGACTCTGATACTGACAGAATGGAGTCTAAAAGATGTTTTATTTTGAAAATGTAATGATCCTTCAACGATGGCACTGTATTACAGGTCTGCAATAACAGCTGATGGTACAAAAGAGAACCATCAGCTGAGTAGAGCTGATGCCCATGGATTAGAGAGTATGTCGGGACATCATGGGTCACTAACTCCCACCCTTAGAAGTCGGGACCATCAGAGAGAGTCTTCAGTTAATACTTTACTTTACATAAACAATAACTTCAGTAACACATTACACTACTTGAGTAACAAAATACCCTTTCATTAGAAGATAATCTGTACTCAACTCTGGGTGCAACTGCTGACCTACTTTCCTCTCTTAATTTCACTGCATTCCAACAAGCCAACTTACCTTTGGTGTATTTTCAACCTTTGTTTTGATCTTGATTCTAATTGGCCTCTGTTATTTTTAGTGTTTCTGTTGTTGATCTGTGGTTTCCCTTTTATCTTTTGTGGTATTTTTTTTTCTTTCTCGTCTCTTGTGCAGTCGTTCCACTGTGTTCTGTTTCGCAGGTCAGGAGAAAGTGACGTAATACGCGACGGGAACCGATTACGGTGTGCTTCTGAGTTATTGCACAAGTTGAATGAGGACTTCGCAGAAATTTTAATTATAATATTTTTGTTAGTCAGGAAGATGGGGAAATGAATGACACATAGCAAGGGGATGAGCAGAGACATGCAGTGAGAATTAGACAACTCTGTGCATGTCAAAATAGATGGTTCTTATTAAGCACTTGATACGTGTATACACATGTCATAATCTGATCATTTAATTATACATCACTGTAAACAGTGCAGTTAGTAAATTTCTATTCAGGATAATTACAAACGAAATAAAGATGTGCTGCACGTGTAAACACAGCTTCTCCACACAGTGTTCTTCTAGTTGTATGCTGAAGTTTGATGTGTTTTTATTTACATTACATTAAAAGACACTGCACAAGCAAAGCCATACAAAAACTCTTTCGACTTTTCCGACCCAACGAAACATAGTGCTCTGGCCGTTATTCGCATATCGTGACCTCATTCTCACTTCCTGTAAATCTTCATTTACAGTATCTCCAGAGTCAGATGCCACAGATATGTGATGTGGCTTTCTCTTCTCTTCACTGTGTCAGGTGGAAAAGCTGCTGAAAATGTAGTTCTTTGCAGCGAGACCAGATGCATGTGGAATGACCGCCACCTAGTGGTAGCTTTGAGATACTGTCTCTGTATTTGTCTGTGACAATACCGGACTTGCTAATGAGCAGTAAATGTGTCAGTTGGTCTTCATATAGATCACACGGGGCTGCAGTTGACCGACAGTTGTCTTCTGCTTTTGTGTTTTTTCACTCAGGCTCGCATGGCCCTGGAGAAAGGAGCTCAGGCCGTCATATTTGATGTCAGTGACGACGCCAAGGCTGCTGCTGAGGTGAGCATTTTACCAAAAACTCGGCTTCATTATCTACATGTAGTGTTTAAATTAATGCAGATGTAACCGCTTATTTTCTAGGGGCTTTAAAACCAATGATTTAAACTAGAGGGTTGTGGACGTGTAGCTCTTCACTCGCATTGAGAAATGAAATAAACATTAGTTAAATTGGATGCCTTTCCACAGCGCACCTGATGATCTGTCACACCACACTAGTGTGCCACGACCCAGTGGTTGGGAATCGCTGGTCTAAACTGAACATTGTGTTGGTGTTGACTTGTCGGTTCATCATAATCTTGAAGAGAATATAAGTTTGTGAAACATTTGTGATTTTATTAAATGCTTAATCGGTGATTCTTCATAAAACCCCTGGAAATTATTAAAAATTGAATTTTTCTACACACGCTCACACAGTTGCGAGAAACAGAAGCACTTCCCCGTCCCGTGGTGCTGGTGGAGGCTGAGGACGCTGAGGAGCTGATGGGTTTGGTCAACAAGAACGAGGAGGCCAAAGTTCGCATTGAGATCTTGATTGAGCAGTCGAAATGGGTGAGCACCGAGTACACATCTGTAAAGTACTGTAAAGTACTTTTACTGTGTTGTGAGTTTTTTGTGCAAGGTAATAATTTTCTGTGAATGAACACGATGTGCTTTCCAACTCCCTTCTCTCTGTCAGCCACATTACGATGTTGGTATCCTGCTCACCGTCTTCCTGGCCATTTTGACCATCGTCCTAATCTTTGTCTTTCGCTACAAGTGCAAGTCCAGTAGGACATGGGTGAGTAAAAACCACAGATTCCATAGTAAATAAGGTTTCATGCTCCTATAAGCTGCAGCTGATAAAAGTCAGAGCTTTGTTAAATGACTAGCTAAATTACTTTTTTCAAGTTCCAAATGTATGTGTAGACACTTGGTTCAGGCCACATATCAAAGCTCTCTCTTCCACCGACAGGACTCTGTTCATCAGCAGACGATGCGGGCTATTAAACGACTGAAGATCAGAATCTACAGGTCTCCTGACTGCTCCGGTTCACAGCACCAGCGAGGGGCCTGGGGGTCTGCTAGCTCCAACTCAAACCCTGTCTGCGCTATTTGTCTGGAGGAGTTCCAGGATGGGCAGGTGGGAGGGGGAGATGGATGAGCATGTTTGTAATTAGGTAAAAAAAAAAAAAGTAACCATTCTGTGAATTCTTCCTGTGCCTCAGCATTTGAGGATCGTCTCCTGTGATCACGAGTTTCATAAAGACTGTGTGGATCCCTGGCTACTGCAGCACCGCACCTGTCCCCTCTGCAAGCACAACATCATGGGTGAGGACAAGTATAGTTACAGTTAAGTTACCTTTTTCCAAAAGCTCTTTTGCTCCACAATCAAACGCAAACTGTCTTTTCCTTTACCATAATTGAGCCACGGTTTTTTACATTTTCTCTGAATTATTTAAATCATCGTCACATCCTGACAGACAAACTCACTATTAAACTCAATGTGCCACATGACTGTTAACAAACTGCCGAATGAGCCCGGAACAAGCATGCACTTTGTAAACTGTACCCAGAATTTTATGACATTTTGGTACTAGAGAGAGAGCGTGTAATTCCCATTTCTCTCCTGCAGGAGGCGCTATGCCATTCTAACTGTTTCTGTGTTCCACAGGGACAGAGCGGCAACCACCAAGGAACAGGCTCCAGCAAAGTTCAGAACAGAGTCAGCGTTTCCTGCACCCTCAGTCTTACAGCAGCGCACACAACCACCCCTTCCCTCAGCACGCAATTCCTTTCTCCATGAGACCCCACTACCCACATGGACCATCTGGACCGTACCCTTCACTGGGCCACTACAGTGGTTCTTCTCCCATGGAACCTCAGACTCTGCGATTCCTCACCAGCAGACAGCACGGCTCTGGCTGTGGCCACCGCATGCCTGCAGAGGGCGCTCCGAGGTCCCACAGGATTGGTAACAACTGTAGGACATCCACTCACCACTACGCTCCGCGTCGTACCTGTCAGAACTATCGATCGTCCTGCCCAACCCAGCGCAGTGCGTCCTGCTCCAGGCTGCACCCCACTGCCGCCGTTACCCCACAGACGCGTGGAGCACCTGCCCACAGTCGTCACGACGAGGGCAGCTGCTCAGGGGGCAGTTACCACACGGAGCGCAGTGGATATTTAGCTGACGGGCCTGCAAGTGACTCTAGCTCCGGGCCCTGCCACGGCTCTTCTAGCGATTCAGTTCTTAACTGTACTGATGTATCATTGCAGGGAGTGTACGGCAGCTGGTCCACGTTCCGTAGTTCTCTGAGTAGTGACTATGATCCGTTTGTGTATTATGGGCCAAGTGCTGGCCGGGATCCCCGAAAGAACAGCCTGGAGCACGAACCTCAGGTTCGGCCCAGGTCTCTGGACTCTGTGGGGAACAAAACGGGCTGCCCCGAAGAACAGCCGCAGACCGTGTTTAGTCACATCCACTACCATCGCCACAGACACCACCACTACGAGGAGGGGGAGCACAGCCCCGGCCTGAGCAGAGGTTCTGACGAGGAGCAGGGTGCTGCCGCCGCCGCCGCCGCCGTCGTCGCCGCTGCAGCTGTTCCTGTTCCCGCCGCTCCTGCTACACTTGTTGTGGGCAGAGACTCTCCTGTGTTCTCTCCTAAACACAGCCCCTGTCAGTGCCCCAAACCACACCCCCCAGATCGTCTCAGTCCGGGTCAGGCAGAGTGTCAGGACCAAGAACTCGGCGGTTCTTCTGAACCTCCGGTTCCACTGTCCCCGATCCCCTTACAGCTCCCTCCCCACTGCTGCCACCAGGGACCCGCACACCCACATCCTCCTCGAATGGGTGGCTGTGTGCTGGACGGCCCCTCTGTTTGTTTTCACCAGAGCCTGGATTTGCAGGATAATCATAGCATACACATTCACTACAGCCAGGACACAGGCTTCTGCTGCTCACCGCCCGAGCTGCACCCGGCTCTGCTCCCGGTCCCCCTGATTCTGGACTCTGGGGGGGTGGAGGAGTGGCCATGTTGCAGCGGGGCTCACGTGGTGTGGCAAAAGAGGGTGCAGCAGGCTCACTCTGAGCCTCAACTGCTGGCCCCTGGCCCATCCATGGACAGGTCTCCCTGCAGGTTCCACCACGGGCCAGGGCCTGAGTGCAACACGGACATTTGTTTATACTGCCAAACATTACACCACAATCAGGGTGAGTGTGAACAAAAACACTAGCAACGAAAGAGAATTTTAGCCATTGTTTATTTCTACCAAAATAAGTATCTTTGTTTTTTGATATTTACCTTGAGCACAACAATAACTGGATCTCTTTGTGTCCAGGATCAGAGGAGGAGTCCGGTGTGTAACAACTTTGTTGCATCCTTATTTTCACGCTGCTACACAGGAGCCAGAATGGACAAGCCTCTCACTGGCCAAACGCTCTCATGTCTTCCACATGATTCCGCCAGCAACGCTTCCTGTTGGACGAAGCCACAGCTTCCTCCAGGACTCAGAGCTTTTAGTCGAGTTAGTCAGGTTATCAAGTGAAATTATTGGGATTAGATTGTGCTTAGAATGTGTTTTGTTTTTCATGAAAATACAATGAATGATTTAAATGTGTAGAGAGAGACAGAGAGGGAGTTGTTGGAGAAATACAATAGTGTTCTTTATTGTTTTTCTGTCAGTTATTGTACAAACAAACTGTTCATTTCAGACATGTTATCACAGCTTCTGTGCTTTTTTTTTTTTTAGTGACAGCTAAGGAATGGTCCTTGTTTAGGGTTTCGGGCCCTCATGAAATGAGACTCCACCTCTGTTCTGCATCGCTCACTCTATCACAGATAATAACTTGATTTTCCTTCCAGGTACTTTACTGTCTGATCTTCTTCTTCCTTCACTGAGATCAGTCTCAGCTCAGTCCAGCCTACCTCAGCACAGATTTCTAAACACACCTCACAGGGGATTTTAAAAGGTACTGCTGTAAGGTTTCTTTGTCACATCCATGTAGATCCCATAAACCAAACTAATAGCTATCCTCTTGGCAGTCTGGCCAGTCTAAATGAAAGAAAGGTCGATGCTCAGCCCCTCAAACAATGAGCATTCACAAAGGTCACTGAGCCATGCATGGGGCCTATTTTAATTATTTCAATAATGGCAGCTGATTTAAATGTTTTGTTTGCTTTTCTTTTTTTTGCTCTTTGTAGTCTGTAATTTTTTTTAACCATCCAAAATGAACCAGTTTGACTGAATGATCTTGTCGTTACAAGCTATCCTGCCTTTCCGATCATTTCTCTTTTTCACATATGTAACGTCTTTGTTGCTCCGCTTCCGAACTGCGCAGAATGACCAGGCCCGCCTGACGCACAGCAGCAGCGTCCTGCGCTCTTAAAGTGTTCTTAGTCTGTCTTATTGCCCAGCAAGTAAAGCTCTAGTGACATGTTTTACATTGCATCTATGAAAACACACTGTGCCTTCATGATGATTATTATGAAACTGGATATTAAGCCATGCTTGTCAGAAAGTCCCATGAATCAGTGAATGCTAATGCCGTTTACATTAGTGACGTGTTCGAAGGCTCTGGTGTACTCATCCTGTGATTTTTCAAAAGCCTGAGAGAAGAAACGGACAATTCAAGACGATCACACGAAAGATGCCCAGTTATTCAATGAAAACCCTGTGTAGAAGCACTAGAAGGGAGAGCCGACTAAAACGAAACAGATGACTGACTGATAAAGAAAAAAACATTCTCTTTTTTTTTTTAAATATGTACAATGTGTTTATAAAGGCAGTCTTGTCAAAAAAGGCCACTTTCATATTGGGCTCAACTAAAGGCATCTAGACTTTTCTTTGAAAGGCTCAGTAAAAATGTGAAATTCAGACTGCAGGTAAAGTTCAGCTCCTCGGCCGCAGCAGGAGACTCACGTCTTATAGGTATTCGAACGGAACCAGTAGCACTTAATGAGACATGCATGTGCCTTATGTTTTTACAGCCTGTCTCTGAACTGGGAAACTCTGAACTCATTAAGCTCTTACCTGTCTAACCAAAGACAAAAAGTCGAACACGTGATGTGTCGTGCCTTATTTCACCACCTTCACTCTGTTTCTAAGATCTCACAGAGAAGAGGGAACATGCTCACATTTGGACAATGGAGAAGAACTCTGCCACGTCATCTTGTCCAAATATACCTCACATTGAATGAGTCAAAGCAGCGCCCTCTAGCTATAGCATTTTTTTTAACAGTGTCATGACAGTCTGTGAGAAAAAGACTGAAATACCAGCAGCACTTTGGCTCAATCACGTATGTTATTATGGGTGAGGAGGGAGGAGGGATTATTCAAACGTCGTAGTATTAAAGAAAATAATCCCAAAAAATGTCAGCATATGAAAAACATCGTTTGGTGACGCTTCTGATAATCTGACGTGATTTCATCTTCTTTGTAACCTTTCTCTTTGCTTTTTTATGTCCATGTTTTGTTTCTGTTATGCAAGAATAATGAGCTGAAACTGCCTTTTCTTATAGAGTAACGGTCCCTGCAGAATGTTAAGGGGCGTGTCAGTATATTTTGGATACTTTTGTGTACAAAAAGACAACAGCAAAAAAACAAACAAAAAAAACAGAAATGAAATAGTGTTGTATTTTATATATATATAATAGAACATTTCAATATAGTGACATGTCACTAATATATTTATTTACTAATATATTTATCCACTTGTTCAGGTTTGAGAGAGTGGTTTCTGTATAGAATGTTCCTATATGGAAACTGACCAGTGCCATCAAAGATGTATCGACCTGCCTTCATTCCAAGTATATGCAAATAAATTATTTTGAAATAAATCCTTGGATTTTCTTTTTCCTTTTCGCTCATCTGGAAAAAGATTTTCCATGCTGATTCGCAATCAGCATGTTAGATTTCAGTGTTTCTTCAAGAGCTTTTTGAAGATCCATGAGAAGAGCCTGTATTGTCTTGTGATGATGATGATGGCTGAGGTCAGACTGGCAACATCTATGATTTCAGTTTAACAAGTGAAAATGTATGTGTACATGTTGGGTTGTTTTATAGACATGCAGTATATCCGTGCTGTCGTGTCCACTGTATCAGTAACACCTACTGTCCCAGTTCTGGGCTCAGGTTTGGTTTGGGTTATGTTTGCAAAACAAATGGACTACATATGACCTAGTGTTTGAATCTGAAAATGCAGTCGCTGAAACAACTCATATCTACACCCAGAGCCATGTGTTTGAGACAGTGGCCACATGTTAACACCGTGTCTGTGATTGTTTATAAGGACAAACCTCTGACGTCTGAACCTTATTTTTATCACACAAACATTTAACAGCAACAATCAAGATTTTATTTGTTTTACAATTTTTCATCTTTTGACAATTTATCAGACACAAAACATGAACCTGTCCACATGATTGTATTTATAATAATAGTAATTCCAAATGTATTAAAATCGCCATGGTAACAGCAGATCTGCTGCAATAGGCTGCCACTTGGAGGCGCCAAGAGTGTGGTTCCTCTGTTGCGCCAACCCAGGACCTTCTGCATCTAAGGCAGGTGTGCTAACTGCTACACTACGTAACCATTTATCACTGTATATCTGATGTATTGTAGGTGATGTTGCCTGTCTTTTAAATGTCCATATAGTTTATATATTGGACAAACTCCAGGTGCTGTGACAGGATCAGTGTAAAGTTTTGGTCTGGTTCTACGGTGTCAGTTGTGTGAGGTTGCCTCTGGCCTCCTGGTCCTTCTCGATGGCCTCAAAGAGAGATTTGAAGTTTCCTGCTCCAAAGCCCTGCAGAGAGAACAGAGAACACAGATGGCTAATTACCCAGAAATTCTCTCTTCTTCTGTGGTGTTTGTTATGGCCATGGGGATCCTAACCCAGACATCGCTCTGGATGCCGAGCACTTTGATGTAAGAGTTTGAAATAGCAGATAAATATTCTCACAGGGTTCAAACCCCCCACTTGGCCTTGACAGGGCGCTGCCGTCAACGTCAGCTCACCAATTAATCATGTAAATATTTTCACAGATCACGAAAACATCAAGTGTTAGTGGTTTCTCTAAACTATTCTTTGCTGTGGTTCAGATTAGGTTTCTCACTTTCATGCATTGTGTTCACATCTGGAGACTGTGGAGAGTGACAAGATGTGCCTGTTCTGACATGTACTGAAGGCGCTGGGCGTTACAAACCAAGTGCCAAAGGGCGCAACACAAGCTGAGGAGCAGTGGGCTTTTTAATATGTACCGTGATAGATTTACTGAGCTTTTATAAGTGGCTCATACACTTCCCACCAAGCAGGTGTTGGGTGTTTGGTTCCCTTTGGTGCAGAGTTTAAAATGAACCATAATTGCTCCAAACCTCCCCCCAGCTTTGCAGTGACCTGGGCAGACTCTTACAGAGTGGTTGTGCCGTTGAATGACCTCCAAGAAGAGGGTGGGTCTGTCCTGCATGGGTTTGGTGAAGATCTGCAGCAGGTATCCGTTGTCATCGAAGTCCACTAGGATTTTGAGTTCCTTGAATAAAAAACAGTGATATTTGTGTTCTTTTTAGTTCAACACTCTCTCATAAATCCTTTGAACCCAACCCAGAAATGTACCCTTCCTCACCTGTAGACGGTCCAGGTCCTCCTTCACCTTGATCTTGGCAGTCTTGAGTTTCTCCCGCAGGTCATCGTAGTAGGTGTCAGGAGCTACGAGGAAGTCCATCCCTCGGGCTCGCAGGTTCACTACCTGTTTAAAGAAAAAAACAGGACAACTTGTCTCTACCTGTTGGTTGGGGGGCTAGAGGGAGGGGGGCTGAGCAGAGGTAAAAGTCAGTGAATCTTCTTCTGATGATAACAAAACTCACCGCTTGGATGATGTTTGATGTGTTGAGAGCAATGTGCTGAACACCTGCTCCCCCGTTGTAGTCCACGTATTCCTGTTAATGTGGAGAACAATTAGGACACTGAGGAAAAACACTGAAGCTGAAACATCTACTGGTAGATCACCGAGGCACCAACTTGGTGATCTACTAACAGACGATGAGCAACTAAAGTAGAATTAAAAACTAAAATATGAATACAATTCCATAGTGTTCAGGGGTGAGCCTGTACTGTGTAAAAATTCATATTGTAGTATTGAACTACATACAATTAATCCATATAATATAAATATAAAGTATGTTCAGGTTATATGAGTAAATGTATATTTAAAGTTTCCAATGTAGGTAGATGACTTCAGCTGGCTGTGTTGGTGACCAGTGATAAGAACTCCCACTGTCTCACCTGGATCTGTGACTTCCTCTTCCCCAACGCCGGTTCGTTGATGGGCATCTTGATTGTCTCTTCGTAGTTGGTCACCACGATTGACCTCAGCGAGCTGTACTGTGTGTGTATCTGCTTGTCATCGATTGACCAGAAACGGTGGAACAACAGGCACTTCTGGTACCTGGGAGTCAAAAGAAGAATCTTCCTTTTGAGAAAATCTGGAGCAGTTTCTAAAATAACATTTTATTTAATGCCTCTCTCTTTTTCTCTCTTTATATAATAACTAAAAATACTAAAAATTAATAAAAGTTGGTTTATATTGCACTTTTGGGAATTGTACCAATTGTCCTTTTCTGAAAACTGGACATGTAGCTGAGAGTCAGCGTGGAGGTCTGCAGTTGGCCACTGGTGATGTGGTTCAGTGGTTTTCACGTCTCCTCTAACACTTCACTTTGTGATGGAGGTGGAGTGTTTGCTTGTCCTTTGATCCTGTCTGCCTGCTGTGGCCCTGTGTGTACGTGCGCTGCATCAGGAATCTTACCAGTCTGAAATTGGCACCATCTGGTCGTCTGGCTGGTTTCCCACAACGTGATCGATGAAGTTCAGTCCTATTGCTGGACTACAGGAAAGACAAAAGACACAATCAAGAAGAACCCCTCCTGGTATTTGAACCTGCATTTAAACTTCACCAATTGTGCTTTTGTTATTGTTGGTCATTGTGGCAAAGGTCTCAAGGACAACCAACGGAGGGAGGTTCTTGTTTGTAGCAAAGAATTTTTTTAAAAATCAGCAGTTGTATGCATATAACTTCTAAAACTATAGTCTCCAATTATAGATTGTCAAATATAATGACAAGCTATGAAATAAAAAAATGTAAAAAGTACTTGCATTGCTCCATTTAAGGTTGGGATGTCAAACATATGGCCAGTGGGCCAAAATCGGACCATTAGGGGGTTCAAACTGGCCTGCTTTAAGTGTAAAAAAAAAGCACAATTTATGAAATGTTTTGTCAAATTGTATTTCATGATACAAAAGAGGAAAACAGAGATGGGAAATATGGATTTATTATTATTTATAGGTAATCATGTTATGATCGTACTGGTCCGGCCCACTTGGCATCTAATCAGGCTGTATGTGGCCCCTGACACCCCTGAGGTTTAAGGTATGTACAGCATGACAGAATGCAGTGTGACATGTTGAGTGGGAGACTCACAGTGTGGCTAACAGACAGTCCCTGTACAGAGGCTGTTTGTAGCTGGGCAGGAACAGGCCTGTGTAGGGTTCAAGGTACTCAATGAAAGTGTGTGTTGTGTCTCCATACTAAGGACAAAACATCAACATAACAATCAATCGGGGTTTTTTTATGAGTAGCCTGAGTGTCTGCACAGTGTCTCTCTTCACATACCGTCTGGACCACAGCATACTTCACCCTGCCGTGCATGTCGTCTTCCACCCAGGGCTCCTTCACAATCACAGCTCCTCGCTCTTTGGCTTTCTGTCAGCACAGACAGTGTGGACACACTAACATTATCACAGAGCACCTACTTTGTCTACACACAGCTCTTGGAGGCCCTCTGGTGGCTGAGGGAAGAAAGCCATTTCACCCCCAGTAATATTTTCATATACAGTAGTTGATCTACCTCACTCTGACCCGTTGGTCAACACAGAGAGGGAGTTCACACAAATACTCAACATGACCTGGAGTGACCTGACTACTCAAACACACTCGTTAAGCTAACAAAGTTACAATCTTTGTCTCCGCTCCTGTTGCAACACATCGTGGCCCATGTGATAACCTGTGAGGCACAGCAGTAATTCCAACTAACGCAGAAGAGAAACATGATAAAAAATATTCACTTCAATGGAAGTCTCAATGAACAGGCATTCAATATTAGAAATTGCTGATATAATAAAAGAAGTAAAACTAGATCCTTCAGGTTCCATAATTGACAAAACTGGGAACTACATTTTGACTGTTGTCAAAGAATTTAAATATCACTGCATTATACATACACACACACACACACACACACACACACACACACACACACACACACATATATATATATATATATATATATATATATAATTCTGCTGCAGACTGGAGCTGCTTTGTGTATCCTGTCCTACGTCATTGAACCTTTGCATCTGTATTACCTTGATTATAAAGTCACAGTCCTCAACCTGGAAGGCGATATCTTTGACTCCGTCACCATGCTTCGCCAGGTGGTCTCCCATTACTGGGAAGAAAAAAAAAGAACTATTCAGAAATGTTGTAAACACATGCTGCGTGTTGTGTGAATGTTCTAAAAGTTCCCCCATGACATCACTTACCTTCATTTCCTGGATTAAGGGGAGTCTCGAAAATAAATACAATCTGTGTGGAAAGAGAGATGGAGAATCAAGTTTGAAGCAGATCAACACATGTGAGTGTTGATGCCTACATTAGCCCAGTGATGGATGTCGGGCTAAACACCTTGTTCTGTCTGATGACATGAGACACCACCTCTCTACTGCCTGTTTCCAGACCCTTGTAAGCCAGAGGTTCAAATCCCATCTTGTCACAGTAGAAGGAGGCTGCCTGGAAGGAGGTCACACTGTGATTAACATCTGAAGACTCCTAACAACCATTTTCATTTATAACAGGTGAAATTCTGCATGTACTTTTCAAACAATGTTCAAGTAGCCTGAAACATTAAAATAAGTTAATCGCAGGTTAGTAAATCTAGTATCTTGTGAATGACATGCTTAAGCTAAATTAAGGTCATGACCTGACTGACCTGTTTTGCATTGCCGACCCAGAAGGTGATATGATGAAACCTGACAAACCTTCCTCTCACATGCTACAAAGAATTTAAAAAAAAGTTATTTATTTCACAAGACTTGTTTATGTAAACAATTTTCTTCGATCATTTCTATTGCAGTTTTATTCTCACCTTCTCCCCTTTATCCGTGTAGCTTGTCTGAAATAAATGAAAGAACTCCAGTCAATATGTCATTACCACTGAGTATTCACACTCACCTGCAGTCGATAGAACTCAATATTTTCAACACCACTTAATTATCAACTCAAAAGCCAAACGCCTGGAAAAACAACTACTCTGCCTCATCACAACTGACTCTTAACACAGTGAAGCTTCTTACCATGATGAGATTGCAGATGTGCCACTGACCTGGGAACAGTCGCCAATGTTTAACAATGTCTGTCCCAAAAACATGCCGATAAGTACTGAGCAGATGACCATCTGTGATAGGTCCTTTGATATCTACACCCACCTGCGTTTCTGCTCCTCCTACTGTCATAGGTATGAATGTGACACACCAGGTCATGGTTATTTTCTCAATGTCTTGTTATGAAAATAATTGACCAGGGAAGACGTGCATGTTGTTCCTTCATCACCTTTCAGTAAAATTCACAGTTCCAGTAGTGTAATTTACATGGGCACAGAAAAGAATACATTCACCAACAACAAGTCTTAGAAACACACAATATCAGTGATTTTAATCTCAATTTAATGACAGGAAAAAAAACTTCCTCAGCTGTGTGTTTTTACAGTCTGATATGCAAGAAGTTCAAAATTGCTTTCCTTTTTTTTGGCAGACAACTCTTTGGTTTTACTAAAGGCAATCAAAAGATGTTTTTTGGTCTGTGGATTTAATAAAAATAAATCCAGGAACAGCCTCATAAATGAAAATAACACTGCTGCAAAGGGCAATATTACTCTGAAATGAAAGAATTTCAAGCACAGATGGGTTCCTGTGCCAAGGGCCATGACTTGCATGAAAGACACTTAACAGCTATCATGTCTGTTTTGGTCCCATGTGTTTCTATTTGGGCAGCGTTGGTGCAGAGTGAACACAATGTTGAGAAGTGAAAAATTAACATTTTGCACAAGGCCCACATGACATCTGTGAACTTGCCATAGTTCTGATGCCTCAGGTCATACAGTACACTGCACAAGTTCATCACCTCAGTTAGTGGATCCAAGCTGTGACAAAAAGGAACATGATACAAGAATTTGATTTGGTGATCTGTGTGTCTCTTTGTGTGTGTGTGAGTGGTGGAGCTGAAGATTGTCCATTTATGTGGTATAATAGACCACATAATAGAGTATGCACTTGAAGTACTCTATAGTTATTGTTATATGATATTCAAAGGCCATAACTATGATATGTAAAATTTCGTCGAACGTCTAATTCCCGATCTGGTCAGTACTGGTAGTAATAGTTTTTGAAGTGCTATTAATATTAGTAGTGGTAATTGTTGTTGTTATAAGTAAATTCTTTCTCAGACCTATTTAGTTGCTAATGCTCGCCACTAGGGGGGGGCAACACAGTAAACAAATATAAAAAGTACTCCATAGGAACACTATGTTCTTCGGCATGTTTTATAGCTGCACATGAATGTCATCTGCCAGTTTACATGATCTATGACTAACTTTAATGAAATGCTGATGATATAATTTACATTGATTTAAGGACTGTGATTTAAAGTAATTGAGAACTTTTTAAAAAAATTCAACCATACAGAATTAAAGAGACAGCTGACGATGTGATCACTGTTTATAGGTTTCTGTGTCATTTTCAAAGACAAACATGTCAGAGCAGCAGAGCAGACAGATGGAGGCAGCTAGCTGCTGCTGTTGGAGAGCATATAAGGTCAACACAGGACCCAAACAAGGGTCTGTTTTTAGTTACAGTACTGTACACTGTACTGGCATGTCACAAGACACACTGTATGTATATACAGTACATGCAGTGTCTGTGTGACAGTCATGCACTGCAGATATTTATATTTACTACATATATTTTCAGTTAGTTATGCCTTCATCTACATATTATATAATCCATTATTTTAGATCAATAATTTTCCACAGTAATCCTTCAATTACAAATGCATATAAAATGCATATATATGTCTGTTTAAATACATTTTTTGGGATCTGGTTCATTTATTTGTTGTTCTTCTTTTGGCCAGAAAAGAGAAAGGAAGGAAGAAGGTAAGAAGGAGGTAAAGAAGGAAAGAAAGAAGAATCTAAATTGGAAAGATCAAAGAAGATAAAAGGCATAAAAGAACAAATATTGAATGGAAGTAATATTATGAACTGTTTTTGGTCCGTGGGAAATGTAAGGTTGTTAAACGTAAATTTAAAAGAAAAACAAATGAAACACACTGTTTTGAAACAATGACCTACACAGGTACAATATGATTTTTTTCTCCTAACTTGATTTAATACGTGTTTGAAAAGTGAAAGTTGTGTCTTTCCTCATTGCGTGTTTATTGCCCAGCTAATCTACGCCTGCTGCAGGCGGACCCTGCTGCTGTCGTGTGGTTGTATGTGTGCATGTGTGTGCGTGTTGAGAGTTTTTGCCGCGCTGTGATTTTCTATTGGTGCACTCCGGGAAATTGCTGGCTCCTGATTAGCTCTGTTGTGGGCGTGTATGCGCGACTCGTTTAAGTATCGTTGAGGATCATTGGTTACCAGGAGTTCTTCAATCCTATTGGCCGACGCGGAATCTTATTCTTGTTGGCAATTGGTTGACGCGCGGAAGTGGTGTAGGTCTACTGAGTCACCGTTGTATCAGCTGATTCTGTCTGAGTGAGTAACTCGATCTAAAATTTCGAATAATTAGGTAACTTGTTAACAGCCAGTCGTTCGTGCGTGGTAACCATCTGTCGAGCGTGTGTGCTATGAGCTGTTTTGTCATTTATCTTCTAGAATGTTCAACGTAAGGCTGTGTTAATGGCGATATGTAGGAGCTAGCATGTTGCTAACATTGGGAAACAGTGCTTGCACGCGCTCTCTCAAATACAAGCGCTCGTGCACAGACTCACGCACACACAAACGCACGCACGCACAGTGAGGGAGTGTGTAGTGAGACTGTCCATAAAACTTCCTCCATGTCATCAACTAGTGATCACCTGTTGTTATGTCAAGAGTCAAGCACAGCATGTAGTCCACGTATCACAGCAGTCACTCAGACGTCGCTGTCTCTCCATAGATTATCTTCTCTTTCTTAACGTTGGCTTAAAATGTACTTGACATTTATTTAAAGTATTAAGTAGTGCAGTGAGTCTTGTGTCATGAGTTGATTGTTGCACAGTTGTAACAAAATGTAAATCTGTTTCTGGGTCAAAACATCAGACAGAACAGAACGAGGCTTTACTTGGTAACAACTGTTAACCGAGCGGTTAATCGCATCAGAATGATTGGTGAAGGTTTTCTAAACTAGTTATGTTAGCAATGAGAAGCTCATAATCTATTTATAGAGCTATGCCTACAGCAACAAACAGGGCTTGGTTATTGAAAAAACTGAATTAAATTGCTTTGATGATATCAGATGTTTTGCTAACACAGAGTAAAGTTTTGTTTAGATTTATTTGGTACTGAAATGTGAAATTAGATTAGCCTTGTCCTTAGGTTTTGCTAACAGGTAACTCAGCTTCAACTTGCATTACCGCCTCTTAGTTTTTATTCGTCACAATTCAACATTAAGACTTTAAATATTCTACCAACTTGAAAAACTAGTGGTTGACAGAATTACTTTGGGAGAATCCCTGATTTGTTATATTCAGTTTTGCTGCTTTTTTTCATGACCTAAAGTACTGGACTTCAGTGTGGTTCTTTTTTAAGGTAAATATTAAATGAGCCATCAAAGTACTGTGTGACCTTTGCTTTTTTTTAGTTTTTTATCTGAATGCAATCTTCTGAATCTCCCGTCATGAAAAAGACAATAGTGTTTTGTGTTGATTCTTCCAAAGCAGCAATAGTGCAGCTCTATAAAGCAAGCACCAGTACGCATACTGTTATTCTATGATATGCCATGTTATTCTATGCCTGCATATTGTGTCCTGGAAGACCAGACTCGTGAGTTGCTGTATAACTGCTGACAACACAGCCAGGACATTTCTGAACAGAATTAAAGAAGAATTAAACTGTAGCTTTATTTCTATGAAATACATAGCACTGTCTAAAAATAAAGAACAGGTATTGTTTAAACTTGAAAGAAATGTATTCAGTGAACTGGTGTCACATGCTGATCACAGTAGGTACAACAGTAATCTGCAGTAGACAGATTTGACATGCTTAAGCATGAATGATTTTACTGTAGAGGGTGTGGTTCGTACCTGGTATTTATAGAACCATTTCTCTTCTAACATTTATCCATTAATACACACCCTGTCGTGTTGAATTTCAACGCTGGTTGCCATACATGTCAAAACGTTTAACTGCAAATGTTAAATAATACATTGTGTTAACACTGTATGTCAAGCTGTTGTCTCTGGTGTCAGCTCGAGGATATGGTTATTGTGCAGAGATTTCATTCGTTTTTCATGACATTGAGTTTGTTTTTACTTAATTGCATAAAAGATTCCAAACTCTGTAGTTGGCAATAAAACTAAAGTTTGTTTGCTAAATATATTTTGCACCCATGTGTTGAAATATTTAATGGTGGCATAAAACAAATGTCTTTAGTAAACAGCAACTATCTGTCAGTAGAATTGAATCTTTCTGCATGAACTTTACATATAAAGCACAAAAATACATTTCCAGATGTATCAAATGCAGACTTGTATTACAATCACTTGGCAGTTTTGCTTCTTTTATGCTGTGTACAGCATAAACTGTTGAACTGAATTAAAAACAAAGTTAGTAGTCACCTTGTCAAAGTCTGCTTGACTGGCCAGATATTTAGCCAGATCCTCCTGCCTTGTTGATTGGTTGTTGAATTGATGCATATACGCTCCCCAAATGTTTTACCATAAAACTGGTTTCACTTCTCATAACTGGACTGGGTATTTCCATTTTGCACTACATGTTTGTCTCTTCTCGAAGGTCTTTACGGGGAAAGAAAAGTTATTAACCATAAATACCAAAAGGTTTTTATGAAATGGAAGGCACAGCTGGTATTGTACCATGTATTGTTTGGAACAAATGACAGTAACTACTAACTGGTGTCATCAGAGCTGAAAATGTTGACGTTTTTGATGGTTAGCGTCAGAAAGGACACCTTTCAGAATAAGCGAGTAAAGTTTTGTTTAGTTGTGAGGTGTGAGAAGCAAGTTGGGGTGTTATGTAGATGTGTGAAAGATTTCGATGGTTGAAATACTGGTTCAAAGATGTTGGAACAAGGGTTTCCAGATGAGGCGATAGATGACAATTGCAAAGAAAATTCATGGATGTTGTAGAAAAAGACACGGAAATAGTTTAATAGCAGAGAATGCTGTTTGTTAGGAAGAAAAAAAAAATGCTCTCCAACTGCTGCTGGTAGCAGCCGAAAGAAAAAGTAATTGTGAACTGACTTTCACTTTCACTGAGAGTGTCTGTTCTAATAATAAATAA